TTTGATCAAGTTAAAAATAAATTTTAATTTTGATCTCGTACTGAAACGAACAATTTTAGTCAAATCTGTCCTCTCCGGTCACTTAATAATTTTTAGCAATCATTAAAATAATTACTGACTTATAGACACTTTTTCAAGCTGTTTATTCTCACTGCAGCAACACAAAACATTTCTTTCGCGAAAGCTTAGCATCTACTTAGTTTAATCTTTATGTACTTCATCTGTTCCTTTTTCTGTGTTATGGATTATCATGGTGTTTACCTGTAACAGTCATAGGGTAACAATGGTAAGTTCAGGATGTCATGAGAGTTGTTAGACGTAGTGATCAGTTAAGCATTCGATGATTGAAATGGACGAGTCTAACTAGCAGTGAATTCCGAATCACTGAGAAATCATGTAACTTGATAGAATCATGGTTCAATCAATAGTCTCATTTTTTTTGCAGCTAGAAAAAAGGGATTAGATGAGCAGAGCGGAAGCAAACTGAAATAAGTTTATTAATTTTGAGAACATGCAAAAAATGATTGTCTAAGGAAAAATATGATAAAAATTGGAATTTCGGAAAATGGAAATGCTGTTTGGAAAAGCTTTATGCAAGTTATTGAAGATGTGTAAAACAATGCAATTTAGATAAGCATTTACATTTTAGAAGACACTATTGAAAGATTCAGGCATATTAAATCTTTTTTAAAATTCAATTTAATCTGTACTTTTCAGGTAATGTATCCGCCATGTGGATAACTTGGCTTACTTATAATGACACCTTTTCATCAATTGTGGAATATGGCATCAATGATTTAAGATGGTCTGTTAAAGGCAGTTCTATTCTATTCATCGATGGTGGCAAGCAAAGAAGTAGGCGATATATACACCGAGTTCTACTGACCGGTTTGATACCTGGAACTATTTATCGTACGTTTACACCGCATGAAAGTAAATCTATAATATATACGTTCAGTGGTAATGCCATAACATGTCTGGAAAACTACTTAGTAAAAGTTCTCGGTGCAAAATAAATAAGGAGTTTGGCCTGATAAATGTTGAAAGTTTCAGCTTTCAAACTGTCATAATCTTTTTTGTAAAAATGTTGTCTTCATTCAGCAAATTTTTTTTTGATTTCAATGTCTTCTTTTTTATTTTGACTGTTTTCAATGTCTTCAAAAAGTGATGCACAGAGTACCATGTTGGTTCGGAATATGGCTGGAGTTCAAGTTATCGATTCAAAGCGATGCAAGACTTAACAAATCATGAATATATATATGCAGTTTATGGAGATCTTGGAGTTGTAAATGCTCGGTCACTCGGAAAAATACAACAACAAGCACAGCGGTCACTAATCGACGCTGTTTTACATATTGGTCAGTCACTTTTTAATTTGTGCTGACAATGAAATTTTATGATTTTTGATAAATAAAACTGAAAAGTTATTGATTAACTTTGTTTATTGTTAAAAATAACTGCTAGAAATAAATAGACAAACAAATTCACGCGTCATTATATTTAGGTGACATGGCATATAACTTGGATACTGTATGTTTCATCTTCCTTCTTGCAACAGTGTTTTCGACTATTCTATTATGAATCAAAAAGCACAAAGCATATATTTGAAAAAAAAAAAAAAAAAATTGTAATGGTTGCTTTATTTGGAAAATGATGATTATCAGGATGAAGGACAATTTGGTGATCAATTCGGCAGACAAATTGAACCGGTAGCAGCTTACGTACCGTATATGATGGTTGTCGGTAACCATGAACAGGCATATAACTTCTCTCACTATGTCAACCGGTATACCATGCCGAATAGTGAACACAACCTTTTTTATAGGTAATAGAATTTTTCACTTTGTGTGCAAACTAGATTTAAGTCTCTTTTTTATGATTACAACGATTACAATGAAAAAAGAAAATGGTTCGTTTTGATTATTTTATCAAATTTATTTGTGAATTCTTTCATTCTGCTTCATTGATTCATAGATATTAATTTAAAAGATAATAAAGGGATTGCGCTTATACAAATTAATGAAATATGCAGCAAAGTGAGCTTGCATTTATTTATGTATTTAGTTAAATTACTCACGTATACTAATTTAATGATTTGAATGCTGAAGCGTAGAAATTTTTCATTTGCCTCAAATATTATCATACATCGATAGTTTTAACTTTTTTGCAAATGTTTTGCAGTTTTGATCTTGGTACTGCTCATTTTATTGCCATATCAACCGAATTTTATTATTTCACTGAATATGGCTCTATACAAATAGCGAATCAGTGGAAATGGCTTACTGAAGATTTAAAGGTGAGTTTTACTAAACAGCATGAAGTGCAAGAAGAAAACGTAAAAGTGTTACCGCTCTTTGCTGATTTTTAGCGCGCATCTGCAAACCGTGACAAATATCCATGGATTATAACAATGGGACATCGGCCGATGTATTGCTCGAATTACGATTCCGATGATTGTACTAAATACGAATCGCGAGTGAGTCATTTTATTTGCAGATGTTAATGAAAGTCATGATGATTGCGAATATCGGAGAAAGACTATTTAGGTCTTTTTCAGTTTTTTCAGTTTCGCATATTATTGTAAATTTAAGTTCAAACTTAGATACGTTCGGGCATGCCTGGAACACATCGTTACGGTTTTGAAAAATTGTTTTATACATATGGAGTTGACTTAGAAATTTGGGCGCACGAACATTCCTATGAACGCATGTGGCCATTATACAATCGTACCGTAAGCATTTTCTTACTGAATATTTTTTAGAATATTTAATTTATTAAACGACTTTTAAAAAATGATAAAATGTGAAGATGAATTGTTCAAAATATTCATATTAACTTTTGAATGAATGCTATTTTTTTCCAGATTTTTTTTCTTTTTGCCAGCAGATCCAATTGAATGGTTTTAAGTGAAGTGAACATTGTTTCAGCTTTTTAAATTCAGGTTTATAATGGTACCAAGGAACCATATACCGATCCTCCAGCACCTGTACATATCATTTCAGGATCTGCTGTAAGCAAATTCACATTTGAAACTATATTTTCAGAATTTGAAATGATTTCTAATTCTTAGTTTAATAATAACAAATCCTACCGAAATTTTCTATCAAAACTTCAATATGATTACATCTATATGCATTTTTTCAAACTACAATAAGTATTCCCTTTAAGCTTGAATCCTAGATTAATATAATCAACATTAGTAGGGATGCCAAGAATATACCGATCCATTTGTACCCCAGCCATCTCCGTGGAGTGCATTTCGTTCCTCAAATTATGGCTTTGGTCGACTTCATATATTTAATGCAACCCATCTCTACTTCGAGCAAGTATCTGCGTCAAAGGTTTTCAGTTATTTCTGTATTATTTAGGTGTAACTTTCAACTGCATCTGCTCATTTCTACAGTCGATCCTAATATTAGCATTATCAATAAGAAGATTTCTCAAGGTTTCAGAAGATCTTGAAAGGTTCGAAAAATAAACGAAATTTCTTCGGGATGAGTATAATTCACTGATGTTCGCTGATCTGAAAACTATTCGCCTGAAACTGTATTTTTAGGCCCAAAAATCGTTTAATTGCATGAAAATAATGATGATAGCTTCTAGAATATGAGCAAATATAATGTTGTGTGAGTATCAGTAAAAAAATATTATTGATGAAAATGCATTAACTGACAAACTTTCCGGCATAAAATGACTCGGGAATGATTGCAAAGGCATGTAAGCAAGAAGTTACATTGATATCAAACAGGGATAATGTTTTCTAGTTGCCTAAGTTGTTCAATTTGAACGGATCTTTGCAATCATAGTCCTTTCCTGACGGGATGAAACTATTGCCATCGCAATGAACTGAGAATTTTTGCTGAACGAATAAAATATTGCAATTCTTAGCACTATAAAATGATAATACTATAAATTAATTATTTCAGGAAGAAACGGAAGACAGTTTCTGGTTGATCAAACATAAGCACGGTCCTTACACTTTTGAGCATCGCAAACAAATGAAGCAGTTTGGTACCTATGTACCTTGAAATACCAGTTATCCATTAAATTTCCTGAACATAAAGTTTTCATTTCCACAATGACTTCTAACGACTTCTAATGATTTGCATATTAATTAAATTTCTGTGGAAGTAAATTCATTAAGAAATTATTAGTATTATTAGATAATCAAAATGAAGTCCTGTCTAATGGATCCCTTTAGCGGAATAACTGTGTTAACTTTCAATCAAAATTCAAAAATAATTCGGCTACCTTCATTGTAGAATCGTTTTTTCTTGTAAAGAGATTAAAGATTAAAATCTTCACCTTCTATTAGTTATTTCCTTGAAATCTTTATGATTTATAATTTAAAAAAAAAAAAATAAAAAACAAAGAATAAATAAATAAATACTCGGAAATGACTTCGAATTTAACTCTCGCCACTTTTTTAGACTGTTTTCATTAAAGATCCTGATTAATTTCAAATTCAATTTGCATCTAACAGAGAGAAATGACAGTTTGAAATTGGAAATTTATTGTGCTATGGAAGGATGGTCTTACACTGAGGTACATACAAAGCATCTACTGCAAACGAAACAACTGTTTCCTTTAAAATATAAGACACTTTTATAAGAAAATACTTGGCAACAAAACATAAAATGAAGTGAAGCAAATAGGAATTTACAATTTTGAATATATTTGAGGTCCAAAAAAAACTTTTATATACAACGACTCTCAAAACAGAATTTAATATAGAAGAAGGGATGAAAGTGAGCCATTTATGTCCCCAAGAGCTAATTTTCGAAATTTGCTGAAAGTTTCTTCGAATTTTTACATTTATAGACACTTTTGTTTTACAATGATACATTCCAAATAGAATAAGGAAGTGATTCGAAAAGACAAACGTAAATGAGTTTTATCGAATCGCAACAACAATAATATTTAACATTGGACGTATTGTATGTCAAGTGTAAGGGATTTAAGATGGTAATCTTTGGATGGTAATTAACTAAGCAAAAGTGTCAAATACTTTTCATATTATGCTTCCTAAACCATTCCGTAAGCGTTCTTAGATTTCTGTCTCGCCATAACTGAAAAATTATTAAGTCAATCAGAGATAATTAATTCCTCTGACTCATTATAATTTGTAATTCAATAACTCGTAAAATTCAGGTCTTTGATTAATGTAACTATGACATGAAGCTGCCACGAACCTTTGCAGTTCTACTCGTTTCCAGCTGTTGTCCAAATACATCCAGCTTACTCGTATCTTTCCTGTACTTTTTAATGAAAGCTTCAAGCTGTAATAGAACGAGAAACTTAATGTCAAGAAAGAGACCATTAAATCAAAATTTTGAATGAGGTGTAAAGAGAAAAGGAACTAGGAAATAGTTCCGGAAACAAAAAAGTTATTCAGCAACCTGGGCAATTTGTCTTTCGTTTGATACTGACGTTGAGCTCATAATAATTTTTCGTAAGAAACTCTGCTGCTCTTTCATACTGAAATCTTTTCAAGTTTATTAATTTTTTTAATAATATTAAACTGTGCAGAAAAAAATAAAAAATCATTATAATCTACAAATAATCAATAAAAAATTGATTTATATTAGAAGTTGAAATTTTACTCTGTGTAGAGTTGAAGCCAGTTGTCCTGGAAATAATCGAAGATGATCAAACGGCCGACATCTCCAGCACTAACATACCCAAATGTGAGCGGCGTATCTTGTAATCGAATCGATGAATCATTCAAATCAGATGCCATTTTTAGTAATCTAAATTTTAATCATTAGCAATAAGAATGTTAAAAGCGGAAGATGAATGTCAGTTTAGGTTCTCACCTATTTTCACCTCAGTTTACTTTTAGGTTCTCACCTATTTTCACCTCAGTTTACTCTTGTTCTTCAAAATATTCTTAAACGAGCTTTCTATTCTAGTATTTATCATTTTTTTCAGTTCTAGGAATTATAGTAAAAAGGACGTTTTAAGAGTGAATGAATCGCGGGAACATGTCAGAGCTCCAAGCAAGCGTTCTCGTTCCACTTGAACTCGCTCACGTTTATAAAGTTGAAACACTTTGTTCCATATCTTCTCCGCACCTATGCGTACGCCTTCACAGTAGACTTGCGATCGTACTGGTATTGGAATTCTATAAACGAAAATTTATAAACAATCTGTTTTGTGATTGAAATTTAACTATGTCCAAAACATTAATAGTTTAGAAAACGATTACTTCATTTCCATTTCTATTAATATTCTCCATATAAATGTGACTGTTGCGTCATTGAAGAAAATACAAAATTTGAATCATGAATGTCCACTTAGATGATAGTTATTAGTGAAGAAACTAAACAAAAAAAGATGGAATGAATAGAGGAGATAAAATGACAAACCAATAACTTTGGAAAAACTATGGCCTAAAAGTTAATTAAGAGTTTTTTAATGGAATATATCAGTGAGGATACAAGAAACAAACCTGCTACATTCACTGCTTAGAGCATTTTCATCTTGACACAAATCCAAAAAATTTTTGAGGAACAAGCCATACAGCTTTTCCGTACAATTTATATTCCGCATATAATACATTTGTCGAATGATCGCATAGCGCAATTCACTGAAATGAACATTGAAATTTCATTTAAATATTAAACTTTCGGAATACCAAAAGCTAGACAACCAAAAAAATGCGAAAAAAAAAACTTTTCAAAGAAAAGTTCGTCATCCAGATAGGATATCTCCAAAGTTCTCCAATCGATTTGATTGTATAATTGAATAAGCAGCGGCTCCAAGTAATCCTTAATTTTATAATAGCTTAAATAAGTATTGTGTTTCTTAACGACAATTAAATATACATCAATTTTCCCAAGTGAATATACTGGAACAGCTTACTCTAATATGCTGAGTCTCAGGTTCATCACCAAAATTCTCGACAATAGTACCAATGCCATTTAAGGCCATTCTCCATGGAAGAAATTCCTCTTCCATTGATAAATATTTTGTTAGATTTAATGGAATTTCGTAGGAAATAAAGTTTGCTTCCGCAAGAGCAAAAGCGTCATCCAAGATCCGAGCGCGAGTGCGCACATCAATTCTCTGAAATTCAAAGGATTATTTCGAAATTTGAACTTTATAAACAGAAATATTCTAAAAGAGAGAAATACTCAAAAACGTCAACATTTTAAATCCAACTATTTTGTCTTTAGCAATATAATTTTATTTATTTATTATAATTGTTACTCTCAGTTAGAAGAAGTTATCAATAAAGATTCAGATACAAATGTTTATGTCTTATTTTTTTATCCCCTAGAAATGTTACCGTATGATCTTTCAGTAGCTGATCAGTTATCTTTAGCCATAATTCTAGATTATAGTTGACTCGATAAAAACCTTTGGAGCCAGAATTTAAAACCAATAGGTCTTCTTCGCTCACATCCAAGCCTTGAGCTAAATTTAATAATTTTTTTTTTTAAAAAAAAAAGAAACTGATATGTAAATTCAAGAACTGTGGAAGAGATATTATCACAGCTGATAATGTTTTGACTTTAAATCTAAACAGCTTGAAACAAGCGCAACCATAAACTACAGACAACTCAAAGATTGAATAAATGAAATAATATCGTTTGAAAAAAATTTCCGGAAGACCAATGAATGACCCTTGATTGATGTTCACTTTTATAAGAAGCAAAATATACACTGAAGTGAACCAGTAGCCTTGGTAAAAGCTCATTTAGGAAAACCCATCTAATTCAACACAGTTTTAATAAAAGAGTTACATTCATGCAGCCAAGTCATCGGCATTTCTTCTCCATTTACTGCATACCATATCGGTATATCATATTTATACCTGCAACATATATAAATGTTGCGATTATCCTTAAAAATTAACTATATAATTAAGGACAAGAGATTAAAATATTTTTACGTCACATTTTAAATTCTTTTGAAAAAAGGTCATTGATTCACATTTTCAATCACTAACCAAAACCTAGCATTGCGAAATTTTTCACGTTCAAGTGCATCCTCGTCCCATTTGAAACGTTTTTGACGCAATTCGACTTTTTTCCCATCAATCCGGCGCACTTCAACCACTGGGTATCCCATCTGTGAATGAAAATATTAGCACATTTATCTGCATCAAATAGCACTATTTCACTCGTTTTAAACTTAAATACTTATTATTTCAACATTATTTATCAAATGCTTCCAATAATTAATTTATCTAATTATAAATTAATTAATGAATTTAATCGTAAAGAACGCTTGATTTACCTTAATTCTTTCATGTTTTTACACCAGAAACAGTAAAATATCCATTACTTTATTAATGTAGCTCACGTTGTTTCTATTAATTTGCGACAGCTAAGAATACCTGTTGGGTCCATTTGGATGCAAAGTCTCGTATGTCAAGTTTGTCACCCTCCCACGACAGCAATGTATCCGGGACTGCTTCATTGAGAGCACTCCATAAATCATCGTGATCTGCATTGCGGTATTTGTGGTTCTCTAAGTAGTTCTAAAATTTAGTAATGAAACTCATTCATGTATAAGGGAATATCAGAATTATGTCAAAAATAATCAATAATATAACACGTAAATATCTAATTGCGGCTAATTAGATTGTACATTTTTATCAACGGGAACTTTGGAAGCTCTTCAAAAATGAATTTTTAGCTTTCCTACCTGAACTGAAAAACTTTACTTGAGTGCTAATTCCGTTAAAATAGCATAATTAATTAACTAACATGTAATCCTTTTTTGAAGTTATCAGATCCCATCACATGTTGAATCATAAATATTACTGCGGAACCCTGAAATTGTTGTATGATGTGTAATGTCTGAAGAATTAATAGTTTAAAAATTATCCAAAATTCTGTTCAAGTAGAACCTTATCATATGTGATCGCGTCGAATGCCTCACTCACGTCTTCAGCTTTATCAATTGGAAATGATAAAGGATGAGAAGTAGCCTGCCCATCACGCCGATATGCTTTTTTCACGGCGTCTTGCAAGAAATAATCACCCTTAAGTATGATAAATTCATTAAATGAAAATGTCGAAAGCAATGATTTCAATGTTGAGTAACTGTTATCAATAGTGAAAAAAGGATATACTAGTGGATGAGTACAAAATGAATCATTTTTTTACTCAAATGAAATAAAATAAAGTTCTTTTTTCTAGCAATAGAGAAAGATAATATGAACAATCTCATTCTCAAAAAAAGAGCATGAGATTTGCAAACCATGCGGAAACTGCCTTTGCTGATTGCATCGGCACCCAGATATTCCATAAAGGTTGCAAAGCCTTCGTTTAACCACAGATCATTCCACCACTTCATCGTCACCAAATTACCAAACCACTGCAACATAAAAATTATTCATAAAACAATATTTCATATCAAAATGCTAGAAAAAAAAAAATGAAATTCAAAGTCATTTAATGTTTTTCACAATCCTTAACTCATTTCTGTTGCATAGCTTATTTTCATACTTAACATTTTCAGCTAGCTAATAAATCAATATATCGTTATTTTACATCAACTAATTTGACAACCACAGTAAATTCGAGTTTTAATTCGTTAACTTTCCACTGCAAAGCAAACCTGATGAGCCAATTCATGTGCGACTACCAAAGCGACACTAGCTTTCTGACTTGCTGTATAAAGTCTTTCATCATAAAGCAGATACTTTTCACGATAAGTTATTAAACCCCAGTTTTCCATTGCTCCAGCAGCAAAATCTGGCAGAGCTATCATATCTGTAGAGATAGCTTTTATATTAATTTCAATTAGATAGACATTATAACAGCGCAGGACAGAAAACTTTCACATTTAATCTTGGATATTTGGATTTTCATTGTGATTTTATTCAGAAAAGACTTACTGAAAAAACTATGGAAGTGTCATGAGAAAAACGTTTTATAAAGTAAGAAATCACCTTGCTTTTTAAGTGGAAAAGAAATATTATAATAATCTTCGTAAAATTCTAAAGCTGAAATTCCTGCTCTGAGAGCATAAACTGTTTGATTTAAAGCTTCTTCGCGAGACCAAATTCGAAACTAAAAAAAATATTGGTTGTTAATTGTCAAATGTAAAGTGTAGAATTTCGTATTAACATGCTATATACATATATAAGAAATATAAAAAAAAAAACAAAGATAATTAATTCTCTTTCCAACACTGAACTAAAAAGAATTCAAATTTAAATAGGAAAGGAAGAAAAAAGTGAATGATCTAATGTAAGGTACAAACTGCTGATAATATGAATTCTGTGTATTTTCCTCAAAGGTAATCAACGACAGTGCTATCAATATTATGGAAACATGCAATAATATATCAGTGATATGTCACGACAAAGATATTAGACGTCACATACTCTTGTTCCCATGCTTGTGGTCCCTTCAATGTAGTCAAAATCAGTAACAGCCAATGCCAGCAGGTAGGATGCCATAGGTGGTGACTCGATGAATGAAGTAACTACCCAGTCCGGACTATCCCTTAAAAATATGACTGAAGTTTTTTGCTGTAATAGTAATAACAACAATACAAAGATTTGAAATACGTTATGTTCACTAATTAGTAAAAAAAGTTGATAACTCTCGCAATTGGAAAACTGAAAACGATTATCGTAATATGCTTGTGCTAATTCTGACAAGAAAAAAACCTGCTAACTTTGCTCAAAAAAGCTAAAAATAGCAATTCTACAATAAAATTGAAGATACAAGAAGAGTAAATAGAATTCCTAATTAATTAGATGCGTCAGTCGTCCCGATTTCTGTAATTTTATGGTAAATATATCCTAGAGTTATTTCTTTCATATTACTTCTTTAAGTCATTTTAAGTAAGCTTAGAATCTTAAATCTTAACTACGCAGTCTTAGACTCGAAAAAAATCTTTGCTTGGTTGTCTGATTATCATTTTGAATCATTTCTTTCTGAGACACTTTTTTTTGTATATTTCCTTTTTAGAGTTATATTTTGATGCAAAACAATGAGAAAAACTTCACGTTTTTTCAGCACTTTTGATTTCGATTCCATTGGATACAGCCGAAGTGCCAATAGGATGAATGGCTCTGATCTTCCAAATAGCTTTGAATTCTGGTTCATCAAAACATGGAACCATACGACGAGCGTCTGTTGGCTCCATTTGTGTTACTGCTACAAACCTGAAATTAGCGGGACAAATCCATAACTTCATTACAAATTACTAACATTTGTATTAAATTATAAATTTCAACCTTGTCATATCTCGATCATTCTGGTATCGACTCAAATACAAACCAGCAAGTTTTATATGAATTGGACCCGAATAAGCTATCTGAAATTATATATTTGTATTAAAATGACAAGTATCGTAGAATTTAGTAGAATAAAATTAAGAAACCTAAAAAATACCTGTAAATAATATTCTTGGCCTCTGTTCAATTTTCCATCCAACCACAATGTTACCATTTCTAATGTTTCGTTTACAACAATCTTCTTCACCTGAATTTAGTGGCTAAATAAAGAATGCGAACTGATGCTAACAATACCTTTACAACTGTTTATAACAATTGCTTAACTTTTGAACAACAAATAAAACTATAGTCAAAGATAAAAAGTAAAACTTTTGCGATATAAAATTATTTTGTTTAAACAAACACTCAAAGAATAAGCAAAATTTCATAAACAAATATAACTCAAAACCTGAACACCAGCAGTAACTTTAGTACTCTTAGGTCTTTGGTCTGTAGTTATGTTCTCTACTTCCGCATCTTCTAAATTCATATCCGGTATAAACGTGGAACTTCCTGTTTCATTCTCTGCCATTTCTATTGTAGTTTCCACTTCTTCCATTTCAATTGTTCTAGCCTGAAGTAATGAGCTAAATTACCAGTTTAGTTCAACTTTTATTAATTCAAACTACCCACTTTTTAAAGTAAAACATGCAATAAAAACAAAATTAGTTCCATAGAACAAGCATACAAAACTGCTTAAGTACGTACGGTAGTAGTAAGAGTTATGTTTTCCTCTAAAGTTATGTTTTCCAAACTTCGCCGCGTCCTCGAGAACTGAAAATTTTTTTTTTTGTTGTTGTTGTTAACTATCTCTTATTTACATATCCAGTTGAGCTACGATTACTTAAATAGCAGAAAGGCAAACATAATTTTCTTCAAGGAGAATTAAAAATAAAACAACTGAATGGAACAAATGAATAATTGGTAAAAAGGAATGAGTAAATATTTCCCATAAAAGTGCTAAAGCTTACCAATGGGAACTATCAAAAAATTTCAAAATTGGAACAAATCAAGGTCAGGGTAAAGCATATGAAAAAAAAAAATGAAAAATAACCTGCTCTGTACCGATACCAATCTCGGAAATAACTATTTTTGAAAAATGAAGTGGGAATTGAGAAATTTAACCATAAACAATTAAAAAGAATGCAAAAGACAAAAAGCAAGTAACCTGCTCTGTACCGATAGCTTTATCCTGCAAAATCTTGATTTCCTCCAAGTTATCAGGAAAATCCAGTTTTAAAGAGTTGAGAACAATTTTATCGGTCATCTCATCAACCCGAAATTTGATAATCAACGCAGCATCAAATGTCATATTTTTACTTGCTGGAATCTCCACATAACCGGGCAAGTATATTTTAATCGTCAAATTGTACCTTTAAAAGTATGAAATCATCATTCACAAGCTTTAATTATAAGATACCGATTCATTTACCTCTACTGAAGTTTTCTCTGACTTTCTGTCTTTTCCATACTACTTCACAAATTCTATAGAATAAAACAACATAACCATCTCTTGTTAAATTAAAACAACAAAAAGTCAATAATCTTATCTCATGCTAAAAATAATCATGATAAAGAAACGCTTTCTGATAAAACTTTAGCTTGTTAGTCTCTCATCCGGTCCTGGCTATCATTGCAGTTGGGCTCAGTATGAGTTTATTATGCTTTTCCTAGCATATAATTTAATTTGAAAAATACAGACCAACCATATAGGCACAATATCTTTCGGTATGCGTAATTCAGCTGCAGTTGGGCCACTAAACATTTCTTCTATTGGCGACTCATCCACTGACACATTTGCGCTAAATATGACCATGTTGTTAATAAATAATTTTCTTCAGCAGGTAGACTTAGCGCTGTTAGAAATGCCCAAGTGTTCTTTTTCTATGATAAAAATACCTAAAGCAAGTTACGTATAAACAGAAATAGAATAGGATTAATTCTATATCGACCGTGCTAATTTGGAAAAATAAAATTCTAATTTCTTACCATTTATGTTTTAATTCTGTATTTCGATAAGAAATTTAACAGTACTCACATTACTTGTTGGGCATCAGCGGAAGGCCTTATTTCAAGCGATCGATCATATGCTTCTTTTGTTACCCAATAAGTTATAAATGATGACATCACTACTGCAACAACTGCAATCATAAACAAAAAGTATGCTGTAGTCGTTGTACAGGTAACATTCTTTGATACATTCTCCTTTGTCACCGGTCCTTTCTTTTCCATCGGCACTGCCGGATTTGAATCCTGAATGCTATGATTTTCCTTCAAGAAATTTCTAAATTTTCCATTTCGACAAAGAATTGAACTATTTTTTTCAGTTCTCAAAAACAAAACTTCTCACTCTTGCTGATAATATAACACCGAACTTAACTGTATATGATCAGCAGTATCATGCTTATTTAACATATATGAAGTAGATGCAATATAAAAACAAATTCAACGATAACAATTTTTTTCCTTTACCATTTTCCCTTAAATCTTGTACTTCGTTTGTTTACTATTTTTATCCTACAAATATATTGCCAATTTAGGAAGAAACAGCAAGACACAAAATTTAAAAGTTTAGATAATCAATAAAATAGGCGGAATTTTCCCGTTAGAAACCAATTTTTATCATGAAAAATCAAGTATTGTAGAAATGCTCTGTTCAACTGCGTTTAAATATGAACAATCTTATACTAGAAAAGGTTAAGCGACAGCGAAAATATTAGGCGATCAATTTATGATTGGTAATTTATGTTTAATTAATTAATAATTTTAGATAATACTTAAAGGAAGAAACTTTGGGAAGTTATTATAAGAGATTGCTGTTAACAGCTATTGTTAACCAAAAGTATGAATAAATAATTGAACTGAACTTATCATAAATTAAACGACAATACTTATAATTTTTAATTAAGCTTACAGAAACTTTGTTATTAGCCTCGGCCATCGCAATTAGGCCATGCTGATCGTTGAGGTCTACGTTCTCCAGTTTGCTACTTTTCCAACTTTTGACACTTTCCAATCCTGCAGATATTTGTGTATTAAGGATCAGTTCAATGATTCAACAAAATTTTAAACCTGGATGGGAAATTTATAACAAGAGAAAGAACTGAATTTAATGTTGAGGCAAAAGTGAAGTTTAACTGATATGGTAAAGGAATGGAAAAAACAGGGAAAGAATTTAAACATAAATTTTCGAAGTATTTATTAGGAAGTATTTTCAGAAATGGAACAAATATCATTAGAGCCAAAGGAACTATGATTGCACATTTTTTATGAAACATAGCAATCACAATGTGTGCAATGTTCGATGATTGTAACAAAGGTTTCCATGTCGCGCTAATTGAAAATTTGAAAACATTGCAAGTCAAATTGTTTTTCTTCGTGGAAAATCGATAAGGAATAAACAAATAGGTTAACTGATAATGAAACAGTCTTATGAGTGTTAATTCATAAACTGGAAGCAATTAAAACTAATAAATTGTATAAAGTGAGTAAAATAATTTATGAAATTTCGGAAATTTTTCTGAGTCATAATATATTCAAATTTAATTTTTGAGAACTTTCATACTGCAATTACTGCTGAAAAGTTTTTTGGAATGAGACATATTGATTATAATAAGAATAATAAATAAATGGATTAGGTATTCGAGGCAAGTTCCTTTATCCAAGGAAAGTCGTTAATGAAACGGATAAAAATTGGGAATAAAACTAAGTTGTAATGTGCTTGAAAATTTTTAAGTGTAATCACTTGCAAAGATGAAGGAAAGAGATGGCAACAACAAAATCTACACAAAAATCAGATTCGAATAGTGACAAACAGAAGCATATCACAGTGTTTCATTTGACACTCACTGTTCCTAGTATTGCTTCAATCAATACGTAAACTTTTTGAAACACAAGAAAACCTTTAGTATCTTTTTGCCAAAGGTTCTGGCTTCCAAAAGTCTTAAACTTGGAGTAAGTAAGTTGTTAATTTTTTCAGTTCATAAAGCAGTAAGGACAGTTCAAATACTGAAATTATGCAAGAAATGAAGAAGTAATTGTTTTTAGGAGGAAAAACTGCTAATGATAAAACTGTTAATCGCAAATTATTAATTATTAATTGCAATATCACAATTACGAAATGGTTTTCCCTTCTACAGCTTAAATCTCCAAAAACCAAACTGTAGTGCAAACACGATCAAAATTTTATCTAAAAAATTTTGTCCAAATAAAATGAAAAACTAATTTCTCCAAAATATCTTTGGATATCAGATTTCTTTTTTTACGATGACTATTCTTTATTCGCTTTTCAATTTGACTTTCAGCAATAATGTCCATTAGCAAATATGATGTTATTTATTGCAGGCGGAAGACACACTCGACGTAAATAGTTAACTTATGCATACTTAGCACAAATACAATCCGTATTGAAAAGAACTTTGTTATTTGTTTATTTTATAAACTAATAATGTTGAAAAAAAATAGAAAATGAAAAAATAAGAATGTGAAATATTGCTGTGGAATAAATAGGAACATTCAGCGCAATTGTCATTTCCTAAACTGTTGATGAGACACTCAAAATTAGTTTTATTGAAATGTGGGAAGGAGAAAAAAGACAGGAAAAATGAACATGAAGAGGAAATTCCACTAAACTTTAAAATATTTCTCCTGTAATTGCGGATGTCTTTTATTCATTTCTTCTTTTCTTTTTTAGTAATTTACCAAGGGAACAAAACCAAATCGTGTATGTGCGTACTTAGCATTTAAGAAAAAGGTCGGATAATTGACCTGAACAGTAAAACATTAATTCAAATTTTAATGAGAATCTATTTGTAGTCAATATAGAATGAAGTGAATCTGGAAATTCGAAAACAACTGCAATCTGGTTCTTTGTTTGTCAACACTCTCTGAAAATAATTACAATATATAAAATATCAAGCTCAAATTTCGTCAAAATCTGGAAAATTTTTGTACTGAAGTGGCAATGCTTGACTCTTGCTTTTACAGAAAGTCTCTCTTTTTTTTTATTTCGCATTCGAAACACTTGAAATGCAATTGTTTTTGCAAAATCTATCAACTTGTCAGATATTGACTGTAGCACTTGGCAAAGTAAAATGAATGCTTTTTAAAGGGGGATGAATACAAAATAAAAATTTGTTGGTGATGCAAAAAAATAAATAAGTATAAATCACAGAGGTAGCAGAACGATATGTTACAGAAGTTTTGTAGTTTCCGAAGTTATTATTCCACTAATGCAGTATATGAAATAAGTGCAAATGAGCCTTTATGTGGTTTTCTTTCGGAATAGTTGTATCAGCATAAATGATTGGTTGATAGTGATAAGTAATTATCATATTTTATGCGCATGAAATGCGATCATAATAACAGCATAATTCATTGTTTGATAAAACCGCTTAAAATTAATCAATTGCATATGCGATATTTACAACACTACAGTTTGCTGATAAATATTGTTCTATTCATTCGAACTATTCCTATTTTTATTTTGAAAACTCATAGTTCAGTTTAATTTATTTGTAAATACAAACAATTTCATTAAAATTTCATCAAAACATGTGGTTTACAAAAATAAGAATAACAAATTAGTTGTGCCATAACTTTTATAAACTTTTGTCTAAGAATGCAATATTCAGAAATAGCGTTATTAATCTGATTTAGATAACTGCGTATCAGGTAGTTTTTCATTTTTAAGTGAATCCCTCCTTCCTTGTGCAGTTCAAAAAATTTCATTTTAACTAAACTATTAGGACAACATCACTGGTGAAGAAGTTCACAGCAAACGAACGAGAAATGATATTGCTCTTCTGTGTTGAAAAATCGGAACAGGTTATTTAAGAAAATGAATAACCAAGGAACGATAAGACCCTGTCCCGTCTTTTCTTTTCCAATCTCATCACTCCTTTTGATAAATTCAACCCACATCCACTTTTATTACACCGCGTACAGGCACGTTGTTCTTCCGCAACTCTATCAGTTCGATTTTAATCATTTCATTTCGTTTCTAATCGTTCTTAAAACGATTATTTCATTGTTTTTAATCATTGCCATTAATACGATCATTATCACCAATAGCGAGATTTTTAAAAGCTTGCTTAGCAATATTAAGGTGTTGATAAAGGAAATCATAATGTATAAATCATTATAATGAGAAAGACTGATAACAGCAATGATATTATCGTTTTCTCGTCGCTTATTCAGAATTGAAATAGACTTAACAGACTGCTTTAAAGTAACATTGCTATTTCTGTCAGATCTATAAAACGGTCGTAATGGTATCCTGAACTTTTACTAGCTTGCGTTCAAAACATTTTTTGTCCTTAATTTAGGTAAGAATTACAATAATCAAGTCATAACTACAAAAAGCAAAAGTGAAACAATCAATGTTGTAAACAAAAAATAAGTAAAAGGCAGGAAGCTCAATAGGTAAAGGTACACAAACAGTGACAATTAATTCAGTCCACCAGTTATAAAGACAAGTATGGCAGACAAAAGGGAATTAAAATGTCATTATTTAACAGGTGACAAGTGTTAGCGGTGTGGAACAAAAATGAGAGAGAGAAAAAACTAAGGAAACTTTCAGACATGAACTATGAAGGCTTTCGGTTACGGTAGGTAAACCCAATTTCTTCGTCCAATTTTTACTAGTCTTCGAACTATGAAAAAATTTTTAAAAAAGTTTTGAAAAAAAAAATTTTCATTAGCATCGTAAAAATATCAATTTTATTTTCCACTAGTAAAATTAATGAAATTAGCATTGCTCATTCATTTTATGCATTACGATAAGAAAAAGTGCAGAAAGCTTGCCGCACTGTTCCAGAAAGAAGGATAAAGTTCATTGCACATTGCTCACTTTGAAAGGGGCATTTCATTTCGGATCCCATACTTGTCAACAATTGACTCTATTAGCTCAATTAATTTTTTATTTTATTATGTCTTTAAGCGCTGCACAAATTCTTGCTGAGAAATGACATCTTTCTTCCTCTTCCGTAAATTAGAAAAAATTCTAAATTTTAGTGTTAATGTAACGATGAGGATAATCACTATTGGTATGAATGTATCTAATCTGCGAGAAAATTACAAGTAACTGATTCTAATGTGATCAAGTTCATGATTCTCGATCACATAAACATCTTGCAATCTGTCATTTACCACAAACACTGTGGACCATCACATGCAATTTCAGGTTAGATATCAAATCGTTGCAGTACTAAAGGATGACAAATCATCTCAGCATATTAAACGTTTCAAAGACATTATTAAAAATAGACATACTAAAAAATCGAGAATGAAATGAAATGCACTGTCAGGAATTAGTCTTTCTAAACTTTGAAATATCAAATATTACCGGAAAAAAAGGAAATTACTAGGAAAATATTCCAGTTTAGAGAATTTGAATTAAAGCGAACTGCTTATGAAAAGTGAGCGAATTTTAAAATCCTGATTGCATTAAAAGACTACTTATATATTTTTATCTCCATTTCAACTCTTCAAGACAATCACTACTTGAGCGCTTGATGTTTAAGCAATATTCAGGTATTTTTCCCACATTGGATACCAGCAAATTCATTCACACAAACTTGGGCACATCAAATTCTAATTAAGCAAAAACAGTTTGAATAATTTAATGTGAGATCAATAAACCCTAATGTAAAAGTAGTTCATTTGTTTAAATGAACAACCAGTTACATCGAAGTATATTTATTGTTCATTAATGATAGCCAAAGTAAAACCTATGAAACTGTCTAGAACAATCTTGTTGAAATTGATAGAAGTGAATGAGTTATATGCAGATAAAGACTTAAGTGTAAAAACCGTAAAGCAAATAAATCAGTGACTACTATCATTTAATGAAACGGATCAGGAACACTTGCACTTGAACGAGTACTTTGGAATACGACCACTAATTGATCAAATGTGATTTACAATGAAATGGGTAGAATTAACCCGAGTAAATTTAATAAATATGCTATCAGTTTCTCTCGATGCATTTACAATTTCAGATCATTTTGTGATACCGCCTTCACTAAATTATAAGCAATTATAAAATCACTAAGATTGTGTTCAGATAAATTCTGGATTAGAGCTATTTTTAAAATGACAAGTAAAAATATATCCGTGCTTTGACTTAATGAAAACAGGTCTGAAAAGAGAAAGAGGAAATTTGATGCAAAATGCATTGCAGAAGAGAAATGAGCCCTGAGCTCAGCTGCAATCGCTTATTGCTAGTTATTGATATGTGCTGTTCTCAAATACTAGTTTTCATCAAATTTTTATTTATAAAAATAAAAGTCCAACGAAGCTGGCACTGAAATTTTAACCACATATTCTATTTGAAGCATTTTTATGGAAGGTTATCCTACGAATAAAATTTTCAAACATTTTTACTTTGCTCAAAAAGATGAAATAGCAATAGCTAAAGGGAAAGAGAGTTACTCATTATCAAAGCCTATCTTGATGATTCGCTCTTTTTCTGAAAATCTTGTTTTTCAATTTCATAATTATCCTTCCTCAATCTCAAACAAAATCACAATTCTTCTCTTCCCATTCATATTCTTATATATAGATTACTAAAACTTCATGTTTCTGATCTTATCACCATTCCGAATAATATAGTGCTAGTTAGATTGAAAGGAGCTTGCCTTGTATAATCTGAAATATTCCGGTAAGAAAATGGTGAATGATTATTTGAACTGACAGCTATTGTCCACGAGCGATTGCAAAACTGAGAAGAATATGGAAAAGTTAAGATTAATGAGTAGGGAGTAGGGGTCGACAAATAATTGTCGCGAGGGGAGAGCGAGCATATAAATGTGTCTTATATTAAATGACATTTTATTTCTGAAAATGAAATTTTAGTAGAAGAGTCAGTAAATCAGTAAATCAATTAAATTAAAAAAAAAAAGAAGGAAAGAAGCTGTCTGTTTTGTTTGTGCGATGAATTACACACAAAAGAGAAATAGAGGATGACGGGGTCACTTCGGGCTGCACGTCATTCATTACCCCAAAATTCAGGCAACTTCTATACTACTCGTTCCATCTTCATTACCCCATCACTACCATTATTACTACCAGCACTACTGTCACCACAATAACATATCAAAGTGTTTTTTACCGATTTGCTCTTTCAGCTTTCTGATTGTTCGTTGTAAAGAAGAGAAACATTTAAGAGAAGATATCGTTTACGACGAATTTTCTCATTTTTTTGACAGATTCGTCACACAGATTTCACTTATAAAACAGTGGTACTGGCGCAAAAAATAAAAAAAAAAGAAACCCCGGCGCAAGAATTTAAATAAACAATGTTAGTTATGCAATACGAAGTATGGATCTGTGTGACATTTTTACGAGGTCATCAAAATAAAATCACTATCGAAATCAAGCTAAATTTTAAATCAATCTTCAACTCACCTTCAACTTTAAACGAAACAAGAAATAAATGGTAGTTGCAATCACTGTCTTCTTACTGTTTCTTTTCCTTCTTCATAAATCAAACAGATCAAAACTAAGAAAAATCAGGAAGCTTTTAAGCAAAAAGTATCAATATTTGCTACACTTACCAAAAGTTTTAAAATCAGCTACCGATTGAGGTCTCAGCTTTACCAACTAGTTGGGTAAAAGTCAACGATTTAAGTCATTTGTAAATCTGATCAATTCGAAATTTAGTTACAAGATTCTTTTATTTCATCAATTCAAGATTTCAAATTAAAAGGTTTTCGTGCTCCTGCAAAAGATACTTTATTGAAGAATTCTCAAGTTTCCAAGAATAATTTAACCCTAAAAAATCACAAAAAAAAAAAAAAAAAAAAAAACAGCCAGCAATAATGAGCAATATGAAAAATAAAACAAATGGATCATACCGCTTCCGTTCAATATCAGCAGTTTCATATTCCAAAGTTTAAGGACTAATTTCTGGTAGTGCATTTCATTTCATTCTCGATTTTTAGTATATTTACTTTTAATAATGTCTTTGAAACGTTTAATATGCTGAGATGATTTGTCATCCTTTAGTACTGCAACGATTTGATATCTAACCTGAAATTGCATGTGATGGTCCACAGTGTTTGTGGTAAATGACAGATTGCAAGATGTTTATGTGATCGAGAATCATGAACTTGATCACATTAGAATCAGTTACTTGTAATTTTCTCGCAGATCAGATACATTCATAACACATCAAAACGATGGACTTTCTCTTTACCTTTAAACTTTCCTCGATATATATCAAATGCATTTGTTCCGCAGAGCTGTTTGTTAGAATGTGGTAACAGTTTAGGCGCAAATAATCATGCAGCTAATGAATTAGATTTAAATAATTTTACTCCGTTCAAATACACTTTGTCAAAAGAAGTCGCGTTTGTTAAGGTGACTGAAGCAACGAATTAGAGAAACAGTCTGTGGAAATGATTTAATGTGGAAAACAGAAAGTTAAGCAACCTGAAGTAGTGCTATGAAAACAAAAATGCCAAATGAAGGAGTAGAACTAAGCATAAAACAGAATTTGCATGTGAGATATTCCAAAACAAAAAATTGAAAACGTTTTAAAAAGCTCAGTTCCTATTTCAAAAATAAAACAGTAGTAATTTCAATTAGAAAAAAAAAAATCATAAATTCTGAGGACCTAAATTTCCAACACTTAAAGGATTGGACACCTTTGGGTGTCCACAAGATGGGTACCAACGAATACGCTAGCTGGTGTTTTATCTACTCGTATCGTCGGTTTACTATAGTAATACAGGCATAATCGATTACTGATCTTTAACATTGATTCAACATTATCAATTCCAAATGCTGAGAAAATAGCAGAGATCCAGCGTTTCGTTGCTTTTGGTTTCTTAAAGAACATATCTGCCATCTAGAAAGAAATTCAGCCTAGCTGTTTAAATGTTTATGCTTTGTTTCAGATTAGTAACTGAACTAAACACAATATATACAAATCTTAATTTATTAAGTTGGAGGAAAAGACTGCAATGTTAGTACTAACACTGTAACAATCGTCATATGTTTTGTCATCACCAAAGGCGCCTTCATGAATCAGTTTTGATACTAACCCACTGAAACAGGAATTTATTAACACAATGAACTTTAAAAAAGTCAAATTTTACTTCTAGATTTTTTATTTTTTGTTTCTGGAATTTGAATTAATTTTATTTATTAAGAAGAACAAATGAATTGCAAAAACCTATAAAGACGTATGCCAGTAATGGTGAATTCGGGGATTTTTGACATATGATTCTTCAACTTTGTCACCCAGTTGAATAGATCATAAGCAGCAAATACACCTTCTACTAACTGACCGATATCTTTACTTGGATCTATCTTTCTTAAGTAACAGTGGCCTGAAATTTTGGAAGTTCTGAAAAGTTAAAAGATATTTTTTTCATAGTTTGAAGAACTGAAAAACTGAAAAATCACCTTCTCTAGTTCTTACTGTGGTACCTTGTTCGCACGATGACCATTCACTCCACTGCAATTGAATTTTCAAATTTACATACTTTTCTGCCAGTTTAGCATCTATCGAATGTCCGTACAAATTCCAGCTGATCTCCTCGTTCATATTTTTATCACTCACTACCTGAAAATTTTAAATATATAACCATTTCATTAAAGACCAATTTGTCTACTTCACTGCTATGCAGCCGAGTAAAAGAATCAATAAATTCAATTATCTCATCAATTTAATTGTCAATTTGGGTTGACAATCGAAATGGCAATTCTCTTTATTATTTTTAAAGCAATTTAATCATCCGTTCAAATAACAAATGCGAACAATCAAACAAGCAACTATCAAAAAGAAAGTACCCAGTCGAGACACGATGTCCAATTCATAGTGCACATCCCAAATGCATCACGTATATATGTAGGAGGAATATGACGAAATTTCCAGTTTGAATCAGGAAAACCTTGTGATTCCGGACATTCAGTTTCTGCGCAAAAAATTTGCTCCGTAATATTTTTCAATCGAACAAATTATATTAAATTAAATTAAAGTCGTACAATTACAAGAATATGTTACTTCTTGCCAATCATGATAAATCGACCAATATTATTCTCTTTTTTTGCATTTTTATATTTTGCTTTCTAGCCTGCTAAATGCATTAAATAATGCCATGAAGAATAGAAAATTGCTTTACAGAATTTCAAAAATGGCTTGATATAATAAGACATAATAATATAAAAGAAATATTTTCTTTAACTGTTTTTGGTTCATCATCTGTTATCAAATGGTGCGTCACATATCAATCTATTTAAACTTCCAATAACTGTTTTACTCTCACTGACCAATACTCAAATTTTTCGACACACACCATACTTATAACTTATCTCACAAATAAAAATGTAATCCAAATATAACATAATGAACTTACCAATCTGAGAAATTTGTTCATCACCAGGCCTTGAAAATTAAAATCAAATTATTAAGTTGGAACGCTAATAATGGAAATATTTTGATAAGATAAAAGATGATCGTTACGACATCTACCACACCTTGAGAAAATTTACTTCTCAATTTACTTTCATATAAAGCTAACATGAAAAACTTTCTAAATTATGAGAGTAGGATAAAAAACAACGGATAAGATAATATGTTGCAACTAAATAAAGCAATTGCCGAGCAAAGATGACGCGAAAAAGGCTCGCAAGAATAGCCTCCATACTAGTAGTTCAGATGCTTTCGACAAACATAGATTCAGTATACTTCAGCTTTCAAGATCTTTAGTCTTTTTCAAGCATGGAATTACTTACTTAAGATAAATGAAAAGAGGTTGCATAGCAATCAAATAGTAAATGAAGTGTAAGACATTTCTGGAGGCTACATCCAAGCAACGATACAGGCCTTCATTCTCGGAAGTTGGCTAGAAATTTCTAAGTTTTTAACAAATTTATAAATTGTGACAGAAGCAAATATTGAAAAATTATCTTGCTAGAAATGTTAGTTTATACATATTTACACATGTATATAGTTAGGTGTAATAGTACAATAATACTAATAAAAGACATGAAATGTGCTATTTTGAAAAGCCCTTCTTAAACTGATACGCTACCATCTTTACTTGTGGGTTGTTCGAAGAAAAAAATAAAATCAGTTCAAAAATATTTTATTTAAACAATCAAATACTGCGTTATTAAAAAAAAGCCATAGCAGCAAATTTAGATATAAGATTGTACTCGTTAAAAATCTCAATAAATTTACTGAGCAATGGGAATGAAAATTAGGAGTATCATAGAAAGCTGTTTTCGAACTCAATACAACTATTTATGTGTGACGACAACAAAATAACCTGCCAGGTAAAAAAAAAACTATGACATGAAAATTTAGAGTTCATACGGCGCATACTGTATATCTTATCATTTCAACTACAACACTTAAGACTGCAGTATAAACAGCTAAAGAATCATTGAATAGCAAACATACCTGTAACAAGATTAGCATCCCTCTTCTCTGTATGAGTATGGTCTGTGATCGTGGATTTGTCCCAGTCCCGAAGTCGCTAGGCATTGCGCCAAAATCACGCCATCTGTTCTCCCCATAATCGGCACTTAACGTCAGCAAATGCTGATTCCACTTAGGTGAATTTTTTAGGTTCTAAATATAATTTTATTACAACAATTATCACTCGTAATTTGAAATATTCAAACATAAACTGATCAGAAGTGATGTATAAATAATATTAATAATTAAATTAATTTCTATTTTGCTAAAATTAACTTCCTATGTAAGACATTTCACAATTTGAGACATTCGTCGTCGATGATCAGAATAAAAATTCGCATAAAAAAATATAGAACAAAAAAGAAAAAAATTGAGTAGATGAAAGATAAATGAAAAAATAATTAATTAATTAAGCATGAATTAAGTGTCAAGCAAGGCGGGTTTCATATCAATCTAACAACAATGATTTAGTTAGTTGTTTCGACAAATGAAAATTACTTAGTTAAATTATCATCATCTTAAGCTAAGTCTCAAACAAAAAAATTAAACATTCATATCTCCCAGTGCATCCTCAACGTCCTTCGCTGGCATAAACCACCAGTGCTTTATTAACCCATTAAAAGTAAACGCTCGACGACACATTACACATCGAAGGTCAATACGCTGACCAGGCCAAAAGTAAATCGGCTTGATCTACAAAAAACCATGAAGCGCATGCTATCAATGGAGCTACAATTACTCAACAAAATGAATGACTTATACAGCGCCTATTAATGAGTAATATGATATATATAAATTATCAGCACGACAATCAGCTAAAGTTATTTTGCCTTGAAATGTTACAAATAATTTTTATTCAAAAACAAATTAAGCAAAACGACTCCTAGTTTTTTTAAGAAATCATTGACGAGCATACCGAAACATTCGGCTTATTATCACAGTTCGGTTCATAAAAGGACTCCATAAATAATGATTTCAAATACTGCTTCTTATGGACATCTTCAATGAATTCAAACTCCATCGGATTATCAATATGAGGTGCCAAATCTGGTACTACATTCTCTTCATCCAACTGCAGTTCTCATACATGTAAAATCCGACCGCACTATTTTTTTCAAGATACAAGAGATAGTAATCCTTACACATACATGATGGACTCTATACAGGAGCATTATGCAGATGAACCCACTCGAATAATCACACCTCAGGATTTTTTGGCTCCAAAATTTGATATGATAATGAAAGATAAGCTCGAACCTTCATTAATCCAAAATATACATAAGTGATGGAACTTACAAGACTTTCTGCACCAAAAATGATCATTAAGACAACCACAACTGAGTACATTATTCCCACTTGAACAACCGCCTTCAGGTAGAACTGATTCCGAAGGTAAGAGAATTCTCAGATGCTGACAATATGCAAATCAAAGCAACAATTCGAAAAAAAGAAACTTTTTCAAATTGTTGAGAAATATTTGGAGACATACACGTGTTTCCTTCCCCATTTAATATAAATCTTTTAATAGAAAACATTTTCATAAGATTTTAATTGAAATCAACAGTGTTACAAGAAATGGACTAAAAAGGACACAAAGTAACTAAATCAAAGTTTTATATAAATGCTTTTTCTTCAAAAAATTTTTTTATAAAAGAATGTGCGTGAAAAAAGTTCTTTTAATATGAAAATTCATGTGCTCTGCAATTTATCATACTGCGTAATAGTTGGAACCAAAGACTGTGTAACACATTTCTATCAAAACATATGTAATACCAAAAAATAATCACTGAATAATGTGTTTCGGGTATGTTAAATGTGCTGGTATAACAGCAAATTTCGGAAACTGATTCCCATCCGGTCGAATAAGCTGAAATTAAAAAAAAAATGCATAATGTTGAATTTGTATCAGTAAGCAATCACAGGATGGAGGATAGGCATCCAAAACTTCATCCTAATTGCAGAAAATCAATTTTCTATTCAAAAAAAATGGATGCTTCATACAGTTAGAATCAATACATTCTCTCCGATGAAAAGCATCTGGGAAATTTAACTCTTACACTTCAAACTCAAATTATAATACGTCAATTAAATGAAAATACATTGAACGGAGGAATTGAAAGATAACATTTTCTTGATACATTTTTAATAAAACTTCAGTAATCAAATAACTAACTGTTCTTTGTGTGCCTGTTTTGTCGATAACAGCTAGTCTAATAACACCACCAGAAGAACCATCACGGATTGTTGCCAAAGCTACTGCATTGAGTACTAATTCTTTGCATTTTTCAGCAGTCATTCCTGGCTACAAATGTTCTACTATGCATTTGTGTCTTTTCGATTCTTTTCGAATCATAAGGATAAATAAAAAGCACATAAAAAGATGCAAAAAGACAGCTCACATAATTGTTTCTTTCATAGAAAAATATCACGCTTACCTTCCACTGACTATCTAGAAAACCTTGTACGAATGTACTACCCCTACCACTCGCTGCGCACCGCTGTCGAGTTACGTAACCACCCATTGGAATTGCATACAACTAAAATATTTTTTAAAAATAATAGAAAGCTATAACATAGCTAATTTGGTTTTAAAAAATATTAAAAGTAACAGGAGATATGACAAAATTTTAGTCTTAATAATTGGCAACTGACCTGTCCACCTTCAATATCATCGTAGCCAGCAACCAGAACCGATGCTGATAAAGAGTCACGATATTTGTACAGAAAATTTCGAAATATTTGAGCAGAGCGTCCAACAGTAACTTCTTCTTCTTCCATCATTCTGTCAAAAAAGTAAATTGCCTCAAGTCCAAACCTGAGAGAGAAATTTCCCAAAACAAAGCCTCTATTAAAAGCAGAACGATTAAAACTTACGAATAAACTTCAATATAATACTTTACAATATCAGAAATGGCTTGTGTATCCGCAGCAGAGCCCGAACGACAAACTACCATACGATCCGTAACAGGTGTGATTTTATCTGTGGCGCGCGATGATATGTAACTCCTAAAAACAGTACACTCATCATTTCAAAAATTACACCATAGAAATTTTAAAAAGAAGAGAATTACATCAGCCTAAATGAACTGCAGCTCAAGATAAAACGATAAACACTAAGACATGATAATAAGCAGGACAGCATACAGAAGCTTTCGCTTGCCAACATGTCAAGTGGTAAGGCAATGCTTATTCCCAGACCACTTGAAAAGCTACAACAGTAACATCAACAGCAAACATGCATCGAAAAAAAGATATGAATTTAAAGAACAATGTCGCCAAGATATTCAGAATACACGAAAAATTACAGTCAACAGTAAATTTTCTAAATCAAGTGAAACTATACGTTAGGGAAGAAAACGATATGAAAGATGGAAAGTAGGAAGCTGATGGAATTGGGAATCGTGTATCACTTTTTTCTTCTTCTTTTCAATTTTCATGATGTTTCTCATCTTCAGTTTAAAACATATACCTACATACATAAATTTTCAAATCATACTATTCAAAAATGCAGTCAAGCAAAAAAAAAAAGTATACCCAGAACTTGTTCTCGAGTCTGTCCCAACCACAACTCCACTATCGAATTCCATTGCAATGAGAGTTGTCTGCAAGTAAAGATATTTAGGTGCAATAATTTGAATGATATTAAAATACGTCAATCTAAGATATTCAATCTAAGCTTCTTTTTCCTTATACTAATAACAAAACTGTGACATAATATTCTCAAACTAACGATAGCCATTGGAAGTGGATTATTTTTATCTGTTTTAGTGTTGGAATGAAATAGAAATGTTCTATAAATAAGAAGAAAGAATGAGATGGGATAAAAATAAAAATATAAAAGTGTATCTTACTCCCATGTCGACATTTTCACCTGTAAAGTATCGCTGCGGTCCGTTGCAAGTCATGATTGTCTTTCCTGCAATGCCAACATATTTGTTAAGAGCAATTAAGAAATTTAATTCCCATAGAAGGTTACAGTTTCTGTTGCAGTTTTTGGAAGATTAATTAGTTAGATATAGAAGACATAAGCCACCTTCCCATACTTACCCATCAATCTTCCCCATCTCACCCATCTTATTGTGACCAATATTACCCACTGGCTTTTCGCAACACGACCATAAACCGTGCAATCTACGTAGGAATACAAAGTTTTGTTGCTGCGAAATGTAATCCATGCGAGTGCAATTTAGGTGGGGAGAGGCGTCTATGATTTAGTATAGAGAGCCTACGATGGGTAGGTACATATAAGCCTAGTATGGCCTATAAAAAGAAAGCCTAGAAGTAGTCAACTGATGCAAATGCAGATAGACTGGATAGTTGTTGATTTGGCTTGAACAGTGATGTATTGATAGGTAGTAGCCATTGAAGAGATGTTTAATTTTCCGTTTTAACGTTGATGTTAATGCCAAGGAAAAGTAAAATTTTGCAGACTGCTGTCGATATGCTAAAAGTGGAGTATAAAGTTCTGACTGGTCAGGTCAAAGCAATCCATTGAGGTTATCGCTGGACCATTCGAATGTACAGATGGTTATCTCTTCATTTGAATCATTCTGGATTCTCTATTTCGTCTTATTAAATAGGCGTGAAACTCTCTCGACATCTGTAATGTTTAGGGATGATCAGCTCATTGCGTTAAAAGGAGCTCATCCTTCATAATGTAACATCCATCTCTGATATTGGACGATTTTTCTTTCAGATGGTTCTTCAGTTATTTTCACACGCTGCGTCTGTTTTGATTGGAGCACTTTATCCGGCCTTTAAAACTTTCAAAGTTATTCGTGAAGGCGATTTTTTGCAAATGGTTACAGTTCCTTTATTTTTTACATTTTCTTAGTATTTCTTACATTGCATTCCAATTAGGAAAAACAGTTGGAATTGTTACAGAAGCGATGGTTGAAGTACTGGACAGTTTACGCAGGCTTTCTAGCAGCTGATACTATTGGTGATGTACTCTTATTGCCATACATTATTCCTGGTTATTTGGTGATGAAGATGAGTTTCCTTCTTTGGGCAGCATCTCCATGGACGGATGGTGCATCAATCGTTCATCAAAAAGTAAAATAATCCGTTGAGCTGTTAAAGATCTTGCATTTACATACAGTTCAGAAACGTTTTGTCTGAAGCATTCTTGTTTCCAGTGACGGTAGTTCTCAGAATGAAAGACCGATTGAGAAAAAGTAAAGAGACTGAAAGAGAGGGAGTAATAATATTCACTTGTAATCTGTTAATTATATCACACAGTGTTTTTACCTACATTCGTTTTCATAAGCTATTGCAGTTAATCGCTCCACTACTAACAGCGTATGAACATGACATTGATAATATGCTGGACAATATGGGACGTTCGGTGCAACGTCAGGCTTCAAGATTAGGAAATGGAGCACTAGACAAGTTAGTATTTCATGAAATTTTAAATTGATAAGCACCTCAGTGGATCTTCATGATACTTTGAAAGAAAAGTTAAAGACTTTTACAGAGCGCGTGTCGGATTATTATCACTTGCAACCACAGACAGTTCGGCTACTGGTGAACCATTTTCTACCAGTCGATATGCTTCAATAACAGTTGGTTAGCACCTGGTGGTTATTATTTTTTTAAATAACTCTTTGAAGAAGCACACCTTTTCATATCCTAAACAAAAACTTTTTTTTTTATTAAAATCGTTTTATATACAGCTTCCAATTGTTTTCATTAAAGAAACAGGTTTATCGTAATATCTCTTTTCATTTATTACTTTTTTTTTTGTGTTTATTTGCAGCAGTAGAAGAACAAGCGGAAGAGGATATTATCCGGTTAGTTGACGAAGAAACAAATGTTAAAAGAGAGATGGAGGAAAGCGAAAGTAGTATATCCCCAGAAAGTAATTCTTTTTGCAAATTTAACTGACAGAACATGAATATAAATGTTGTCGTTTTGCATAATTTGAAAATCAGTATGTTTTAGCATCAAATCGCTTAAAAGGAAACTATGTGCGTTCTGATGGTGTTAGTGTTACTAAGAAAGGACGAAACCGATTTAACAGGAATAGAAGGGCGGAAGGTATTTCTTACCTCTACACTTTCCTGTGCATTATTACAAATTTCATTTTTACTTCATGAAACAGCTGCAGAGGAGTATAAGGGATTCAGGCTTTCAGTATTCAGTCTCTCAGTATTTAGAAAATTGCAGCCTTTCACGATTTATAATTAACTATGCTTTTCTCTCTAATGTTCAGTAACTTTATTGTAGTGTAAAGGAATTGCTAGATATATGTATTTCGTTCTGTCTTTGTTTTCGTTTTGTAGGAGATGCAAAAGACCGGTCGCACCGTACAAGACGCGTTACAGTAAATCGTAGTATCTCTCGTGGGCGATAAGTTTGATCATTTTCTATTTTCCATAAATTTTATAAATGTTTTTTGAGTGTTCTTACATTTATCTCTGTTTTGATTCTTCTTCTTTTTTTTCGGTGTACAGCTTCATTTATTACTTACATATGCTTCCTCAGTTTCCATTAGTCTTGTAATTTTTTTACTGCTTGTCTTTCCACATTGCATGTTATCGCATTTATGGTTTTTTTTTTTTTTTTGGTTTCTGTTTCAATTTTTGGAATTCGCTGTCTTATTTTAATATCAAATTTGCTGCTTTCAAGAAAATGCATCTTTTTTTTTTTTTTTTAAAACTCAAAATGTTTGAGAAATCCTGAACAACTATTTTCCTGTTGTAGATATTGCTTTTTGAACAATGAATGGGTTTATCTACAGCTATTTTTTTTTTTTTTTTGTGAGGTTTCAGGACGAAAACTCACGATATTCTTAAATTTTGCACAAGTAAGAGAGGCGAGTCCTCGATTGGTTACTTTAGCTTGAAGTCGAAAATTTTTTTAAGTTTCAAAATATTGCACAATATGGACAATTTATTTTCTTTAACAATATAAGTAACTTATTTCCCTTTTCTTTTCCGATCCAGGTTTTGGAACGTCGGTATTTCTTTCAGAAGCAGCAAATTTGATAACACCTGTTTATTGATTCATGCTCAATAAGATACATGTTTTAATGATACTACGACAACAGACATAGGAATTATCCGTATTCACCTTGAGTCTGAAGTTCATTGTGTTTCACTTTCTCATCTTCCGGTCTGCACAACAAATCCACAACAATATGATCTGTTTGCATATGGTAACTTTTCACTGTGTTCACTTCTAGTATTGTACATGTCCAAACTTTATCCTTTTCATCATGGATGTTGTTTAGGTACTGAGTGCAACTGAAATTAGAAAGTTGTGACACAATTAAACATTTCCCATCAACAAAATAGTTTTTTCATGGGTAGTGTAGGTAATTTCTAGTTTGCTTAGGTTCGAACGATATAATTTCAGTCGATTTCAAATGGGAACAAACTTCAAATTATACATCTATCACCGACTAATACTGATGAGAAAAAGTATAAGTGCTTGATAACTTCAAAAAAGGTGATATTCGTATTTTATGTTTATGATTATACCCTCCGTGTTCTTGTTAGAATGATTTCAAGAGTTTCATACCAAAGATTCAAATCGATTTGTAAGTAAGGTTTTTTAGAATTGAAAATTACTTCGTAGCGCAAGTCATGGCAAAGTTTTGCAAAATGTGACTGATCGTTGACCACTTCTCCTCTTTGAAGTGATCATCAATTTGTCCATTTGGCAAGATACGACTTTCCATTTCTTTGATAATAGTTGCTGAACGACTAAATTTCCTTTTTTTCACTGTGCCGTCATGTTTTGCGGTATTTGTTTCTAGAAAATTCTCAACTCGAAAACTCAGGACTTTTTTATATCAAGTTTGAAAAAAGATGCTTTAGCTCCATTTGATTCAAGGAAATTTTACTAGGAAAATTATTTGGCAAATTTTAATCAGAACCAAACCTTCACATTGAATAGCACTATTATCTATTGATTTGCTAAAAAAGATTTTATTTTTATCGTTCTTTTCCATTGCAGTTCTGTTTTCGCCACAGATATTTGTAGTGTCGGTAACTTCATGTAATGCAATTTCTTCGCTCATGGATGTCGCATTTTCATTTCTGTAAGAAATATTTGAATAAGAAAGTTTTTTGAATTGTTAATTCGAACTGTAGAAAGACTAATTTCAACATATATTCTACGAGCCTTATGTGGTGAGTAATATGCCTTTAAGTGATGAATAATCAACAACATTATTGGTTTCCATATTGGATTTTCCTTATGATGCAATGTATGACCATAATGATTTCGGTTTAAGCAGTTTCTAAATCTTTTTGAATGAATGAAAATTTAGGTTCCAATATAAGAGAATGTGCAAAATTTTCATACAGGAGAATTTCAATAATTTTCAATACTTTATAAGTTTGGAGTATGCGGCCGGTTTATTACTGGGCTCCAAGCTGCCGCTCTGCTGTTCTGATGTCCTAATTGCTTCATGTATATGAAGTATTCCACCTGTTGATTTCAAACATTTACAAGCAGCGAGCCAGTATGGTCGTGACGATGGTAATAATCCAATGTTTACGCGATCTGCTACACCTTGCGGTGTTACCTACGGTAACAGGTAATGGTAACCTTTATTATAAAGAAGCGATGTTAATAT